CCCGCCCAGGAAAACTGCGCCCTGAGCCAACTTCCTTAGAGCCACGCTTTCAGCTGAACTGAGTGAGGTGATAACTCAGAGTCTGAACAAAAGCCTTAATAAAAGAGAAAGCTTACTAAGTCTCAAAAAGGTTTTAAAGACAGGACTTGGCGTGACAGAATAAATTTAAATTTCAACAAGAGGAATGACACACGACTGTGAGAGCACTCCCTTTAGCAAGCACAAAATAACCTTTTTTGAAAAGTATTCCATACATTTCCATTCTTTACTATGTGTTTTGGTAACCCAAGGCTTCAAAGAATATTAATAATCATTCCTCTCACTGGGCACGATCATGATTCTCTATATAATTTTCATCTATCCTATTCCTACAGAAAACAGTGTACATATACTGTGTGAAACAGCCAAGCTATATTGTGAGAACTAGAATATGCTATTTCTAATTCAGGACAGAGAAGGAAAAACTGTTTATCAAAAACCAAAGGCTTTTCCCATGTGAAATTAGTTTTAATGGCTAACCACTAAAAAAAAAGTGTAAACATACAACTGTGAAATATTTTACTCAACATATTTAACTTGTCTCTATATACTTTTTCATGTGAAACACATGAACATGGTTTCCATTGGAAATGTTAAAAGTCAGATTTAGAAAAAAAAATCAAGTTTTGAAACGGAAGCTAGGCAGTAGATAAATGTCATTTTTGTCTTGGCACCAGGCTAAAATCTTTCCTTGCCAACACTCCTATACCAAACCTGGCATTCATTTTTTTCAATCTTTTGTAGACTTTCACTTACTTGTAGGTGTATTTACAAAAGTGAGTGTGAATTATTCCATTCTCACATATTGGTTATTTGCCTTTGTTGATATAAAGTGGTGATTTGGTATTTTATCAAAATGTGGAATAAAAAAATACTAGGAGTACTGGTCTGAAATATGAAAGATTATATTTTCTAAAGTCTGGAAAGTTTTATTGTAAGCAGGAAGCATAATTGTTATAGAACTTCTTTACATGTCACTTGGTTTTTGATAAAAATTATTTCATACGATGCAAAAAATATAATGCATCATCCTGTAACCATATCTAAACCATAATCTGAAATGTATTTGAACCCAAACACCTTTCCCCCCTTTATTTTTAGAGACAGGATCTCACTGTTTTGCCCAAGCTGGCCTCAAACTCCTGGGCTCAAGCGATCCTCCCGCTTCCCGAGTGGTTGGGACTACAGGCACTCGCCACCGTGCCCGGCTCACCTCCTTGTTAATAAATTCCCGAACCTTGCTTTTACCACTACTGCTGTGCAACAGTAATTCAAGACCTGAACTGAGAACCTGATAAAATTCCAAGGTCTAGATCTTCTTTTTTTTTTTTTTTTTTTGAGACAGTCTCACTTTGTTGCCCGGGCTAGAGTGAGTGCCGTGGCGTCAGCCTAGCTCACAGCAACCTCAGACTCCTGGGCTCAAGCAATCCTACTGCCTCAGCCTCCCGAGTAGCTGGGACTACAGGCATACGCCACCATGCCCGGCTAATTTTTTCTATATATTTTTAGCTGTCCAATTAATTTCTTTCTATTTTTGGTAGAGACGGGGTCTCGCTCTTGCTCAGGCTGGTCTCAAACTCCTGAGCTCAAACAATCCGCCCGCCTCGGCCTCCCAGAGTGCTAGGATTACAGGCGTGAGCCACCGCGCCCGGCCTAGATCAACTTTCAACTGAACACACTTAAGCTGTTCTTTATTGCCATCAGGTGTGGCATATGAGTGACATCTGGGCAATCCAATAAAGCACCCCAAGATCAACAGTCCCACCTGATGAAGTTTGAAACCTTCGGTCTAAAATCTCTATTGTAATTGTTGCATAAAAGCTTTCTTGCACATTAATTCTTGTTAAAATACTCACAAACTTCTAGAAGTCTCTCTACAAAGGGTTTTGAACCTACCCGGCACCAAAGTACCTCCGTGCCAGCAGAAGGTTCCTAATGACACAGAGGCAGTGTACCCAGGAGAGCTGTGGCTGGGGAGCAAATGATCCCCTATGGTCACGACCAATTACAAAGCACGAGAAAGAAGAGCACAAATTCAAAGGGGAAAAGTCCTGAGCAAGAGCAACTCCTCAGTAATCTTCAGAGAGAGATTTCTTTCAGATATGTGGAATTTGACATTACTGCACAGTATATTATTTTTAAGGGAAAATATCAATGCAAACTTAAATCGTTAAGTTTAATCTTACTTTTTAAAGTGAAGCTAAAATCAACGAGCAAATATAAAGCTTAGTCTCCTCCTTAATATCGCAACATAGTTGTTCCCGGCTGCCATTTCACCAAAGAAATTGCCGATAAATTCCAAGAGGAGAAACATCAACCAAAACCAAGGATAAGTTTATGCTTCCGACTCTCTTCTCTCCCTCTTCCCCCAGCCCCCTCCTCACTACTCAAAGCAGCTTTCACCCAACTTGGTTCTTCTAAGTCCTCCCCGCTTACCTTTGCTTGCCCAGTGCTTTCTGTTGCTTCTCTTCTACTCCATTTCTTTGGTTTCCTGCCCCCCTGTGATCCGGCTCAGCCGCACAGCTCTCCGTTTGGCCAGCGCGGAATCATTTTTCCGGCCTCCCTCCTCCCTCCCTTTCCAGCTGTGTCCCATTCCCCATCACTAAGGCCCGGCTGCCTTGCGGGCCTCACTCCTGTGGCCCTTTCTCCGGGCTCTTTCACCCTCAGCCGACGCCCTCCTGAGTGGACCTTGCAGGCGCACAGCAGGCGCCTGGCCTGGCTTCCTTCTGCAAAGAGCTCAGGCTCACACTCCAATTCCTGCTGCCTCTGGTCCGGGTCTCCCAGCGAGCAGGGGAGGGGAGATTGGGGGGCATGGGGTGCAGGCCTCACTCTGCCCTTACTGACACAGCCCTGCGCAAACCATCTCCTGTCTCCAAGCCTCCGCTCTCTCAGTGTTTTGGGAGAATGAGAGTAGTAGCTACCCCAGAAGGCTGTTTAAAGCTTTAAATAAAATGTTAAAGGAATATTCCAACCACGGGTGCTCTGGAAGTCGCTGCGGCCACTCAGCCTCTCCCGTCTCTCCCTCCTCTGAGCTCCCAGGGCCCTTAGCAGCCCCACACTCGTAGTTATAGAAGAGAAAACGCTCCCTGAAGACGGCGCATCTTAAACATCTCCTGGGACCTCAGCACGAGGGACCAGCCCATCTGACAGGCCTTTTCTCTGTAGCAATCTGCAAGTTCAGTTTTTGGTTTTTTTCATTGCTGCTCTAGATCTTTTCCCCTCTTGATTTTAAAAACCCATTTCCCTCCTCCTGTCCCCACAGCTGGTCTACTTCGTCCTGAGGAACGAGCCTCAGCTGAGGGAGAGGCAGGGTGCGGGGCACGGTCGGAGTCAAAAACCTTTCCCAGGTCCCAATATGTGAGACAGGCACGAATGGCGAAGGCTCTACAGTTCTACCAGGCCTTGTCCTGGTTCCTGTCCTGTTCCAGGACCAGAGTGGACGAAGCTGGCAAGAGGGCAGAGGGCTGCGAGGACAGGGACAAAGACGGTGTCACCACAAATTACTCAGCCCTCTCCCCAGGCGACTTCCTGCGCCAACTCCTTCGCAGTCATGCAATTGCCCTAGGTATTTTGAAAAACATCTTTATTTCAAAATAAGCTGGGGTTTCAGAAATCACACTTCACGTACTTAGAGGGTAAAGTTACAATGTCGGGGACAGGATGCCGGCGAGGGCGGAGATTTCGACACCGGCAGCTTCCTGGGAGATGGTTCGGCCCCGTCTTCCCGCTTTGATTTTTAGTTTATAGTTAACTCTTGGAAGAAGAAAAAGTGCTGAGGAATTTAACACCTTACCTGGTGATGTTTATCATTAGGCTTCAGATACACGCGGTTGACTGAAATGGGGAAGAAGTCGGAAGACCTTTCTAGAGATGCTCTGGAATTGTCTGTACTCTCGAGAGCCCAGGCCTGCACAGACACAGGTGTGGCCGGGGCAGCTCACGGTAATTCTTTTTGTTCTCAAGCTCGGAAAAGCCTGAAGGACATTGGCCTCAGCAAACCAAAGAAACGTGAGAGGAGGAGGGCAAGTGATCTAAGCCAGTGTGACTTGGCAAGCTGTTCGAGAGCAAAGAAATCAGGTTGAACCACTTCACCTGTCTTTGGCTGAATGACTGAAATACACTAAGCTCTGCAAAGCGGCAGGAAATTTGAGTAGATCGTGTCGGAGTGTGCAGTAAAGACAACCCCGGATGTAGGGAGAGAAAACCCAGCAGCCACGCCCACGCCGTACAAGCGCCTCTCCCCATCCTCGTCCCTGGCACTTACACATTGGCAGCGATATCTAGAAGCTATTTTCAAATCTCGGAGTCTGATGACTCCCCTAGACTCACACTAGCCTAACATTCCTCCCTTCCCGTAAGTTCTGCAATGTCTTTATCCTCTTCCCCCCAACAATCACGGACACCCACCTTGTATTTTCAAGGAGTTCATGGACAGCCCATTCTTGCTTTGAACAATGGGAGACCGGCCACATATGTTCTTTATCATTTTCAAAATGGGAAGTTCACAAATACCAATTCCTTGTCAAGATTTTTTTTGAAAGCCTCACAATACCAGAAGATGAAAATAAACGTAGGTGCCGTCTATCACCAACAGGAAGCATCTCCATCAAATACGGGTCAGCTTGCCTCCTTCGACAGGATCACTCTAATATTCCCCGATATAATTTACTCCACTTTCACGGAAGGAGGTAAGTTCTAAGAAAACTAAGGCCCCTAGTCAAGAAGTCCAAATGAATCTGAACTCCTGGGTTAGCCCATCCTTAGCCATTACAAACTTTTGTAAATTAAAATAAAAACTTTATATAATAAAATTTATTTTTGAATAGAAATAACTTCCAAGTCTAGAAAGGGAGCTCCCTGTCAGGCACTCCGTAAACATTTATTGATTGAATTTGAAGACCGACTGCTCCCGTTATGAACGGTTTGTTTGGACCATCTCCGAGACCCCTGGCAATGCTCACCTGTCCTCGAAGCACACGGTGCACTTCCAGACGTGCGTCCCCCTCAGGAACACCCGGCACCCGGGGCACACGCGGTGGCTGCAGCCCCGGCACACGGCCCCCCGGTGCAGCAGCAGCCCCAGCACGCGCTGGCAGCGGGCACAGGACTTCTCCTTGGACTCCTGGCTGGCGCTCTTTGCCCATTTCCACCGGAGGTGCTGCAGCTGCGTTTTCAGCTTCCTGCGCCCACAGAGTTAAACAAGATACAACAGAATGGAACTCCAGATGCCAGGCTACAGGGCAAGAGCCTGGGCAGAATGGCCCATGGCCAGGGAAGAGGCTTTGGCCCCCAACATCCCTGGGTTCTGACATGGCTGTGTGAGCTGGGGCTCAGAGGTTTTCTCAGCTGAGACAGAGACGATGCAACCTTCCCTCCCAGGGTTGCCATGGGGAGTAAATGGCAAAGCATAAATAACGTTCCTGGGGCAGAGGAGTTAGCGACTAGGTTCATCCTTCCATGCTTACTATTATAACGGCCTCGTTACAGTAGGGAGAGAAGAGGAAAAGACACAGAAAAGGGCATCGATTCTAATATGCAAGGCATGGAAAGATCTAGAAACACACAGCAAACACCCAGGATTAGTGTGAGTTACCCAACACAATCATCTGACTGGTGCTGTGCTTTTGCTACTGGGTTTTCAATGGGTGGTCAGCCCACTTCCACCCCTCATTCCTCTAGGCAACAGCCATAGTTGTAAAGCGACATTGTACTGGACCCCAAAAAGGTGTCATTAATCAGAACACTTTTTCATGAAATGTCTTTTGCCTTCTTTTAGAAAAGATGAGCCAGTCCCAAGAAGCAAGATAACATCAGAAATGTACTTTAAAATCCAACTTTCAGGATTTTCCCTAGAATTAGTACCTTTGGCACAGAAACTTCCTTATCACAGTATCCTTGTTACTTTGTTAATATTCAAAATGATCTTTCCAAATCCCTGAAAGATTTCTAATCATAAAAGAAAACTCCATCTTATCTCAGTGTATTATAGTTTTTAATGGAAGAAAGTTTACAAATACACTTAGAGAGCTTTGAAATAACAAGGAGGATGAAAAAAGAATATTTCTACCTTCCAGTTAACCAGAAAATCTCCCTCATTCCTCAAGCATTGGTTGTCCAAAGTTTTATACGTGTATTTTTCTTGGCAGACTCTGAAAGAGTTCTACCATGAGAAGCAAAACCAAAAAGCATATTCCACATTCTTATTTTCTAAATCTCACATCCTCTATAAACATGATAAACAAGCATGGCTGTATTTAAAGGTGGGTTTTGACACAGTCTAGCCCGGCTTCATTAGGTGTTAACTCGCATCAAACAGCTAGTGCAGCTTGGACGACTAGGAAATGCTGTCTATTGACAAGTTAGCCAGGAACAGGCTAAGCAGGTTCGTATGCTGTGCGCCCCCTTCCTCAAAGCCGATTGGGGAGCAAAAGTGAGAAAAGAAGAAAGAAATGGGTTCCAGCGGATTTGCTGTTTCTAGCTGCTTTCTGTGCTTTTCTTTGCACCTTTGACTACCACCAACAATAAGGTAGCAAGATCCTTAACCTTAGGTCTCTCCCTAAATTAGGGGTGTACCAGGAGCCTGAAAGCGTCCCTTGAGTTGCTCCCACACGGTAAGCAATAGAAAAGCAGACAGGCAGACCACAAACTTATCACAAAAAGTCCCCATTTTAAAAGAATGACAAAAGCAGCCTTCCTCTCTCCCCATCATCTTCTGAGTTGAGTGAGATAGCGGAGGTAACCTCCACCCACAGCCCTCTGCCCCGACCCTTCTCAGGCAGGAAGCCCAGGAGTAAGCGAGCAGGAATTTGCAAGCAAGCGGCACTATGCTAAGGAGTGGCAGGCTCCAAGTAGAAAATGTCAAAACCCCAAGAATCACACCCCTTTGGAGGGCGGCCTACCGTGTCCTCTGCTCCTCAATGTTCTGGACCGCCCGATCTCGGTACAGGACCTGGAGAATGGCCTCGCGCTCCAGCTCCTTCAGGGAATTCAGATTTACTTCTTGGGCCATTTCCTCCTGCGCACGAGCATCAAGTCCACCGCAGCCCTGCGTTCTCTAACGAGCTCCCTCTCCTATTTCTTTGGCAGCTGTGCGTTGCTTGTGTCTCCTTTTTCCTTTTTACGCGTCACACTCCTCGAGAGAAGGAAGCCCCAAGAGGCTGCCCCTTTGCTGGAGTCACCGCTCCCAGAGCCTCGTGCCGCCCAGGCAGCGTTTTCACTGGGTTCTGCCACAGCCTCAGACAGCCATCTGCACAAAAGCTTATCTTGTTTTCTGAGGCTTCACCAGAGAGTGTTATAAATTACGCATGGCTCCAAGCAGATAATTTCTGCAAAGCAGAAGTAATCCCCAACTGAAGAAACTTACAAATAGCAATAGGAAGAGTATCAGTGACTTATGGGAGCTAACTTTCCACTTAGAGTATTTCTGGGGAAGAAGGAATGATCACGAAAGCCCAGCCTGCTCAATACCTGTAGCAAAGACAACAACAAAAACTGGCAATGTTTTTCCTGGCATAAGTATTTTTGTAGCATGACTTCAAAAAAGACAAAATATCCTACACAGACAAACTTTTGCATGTTCTGTGGTGGTGATGATGTAAGATTTTAAATTTTATTAAATAAGCCTCATATTTCTAAAAGCCTCAAACTTCCAACCTTGAGTTTTCCTAATATGAATTCTGTATCTTCAGTGGCTGGAGGGTATAAGGGTTTCTGTTTAATGTACATCACCCTAATTGAGAAGATGCAAGAAAAACGACACTCTCAACTGTCAGCTATTATTTTTACAGTTAACTTCAGAACTCACAAAAACTTTAATCAGTTAGGGAGGTATGAAGTGGCATCACCACAGCCTCAGCCTATCCATTATTTACGGTCTTTAATAGTTTTCATGAGCTGCCCTATACATCAAGTCTTGTTTCCATTTAACGACAGTTGAAAAGTTCTGCATACATTATTTTATCCAGAAAATGTAGATTGAATCAATATACTTTCTATAATGCCATTTTCGTTATCAAATCTATGTGAATCCTTAGTAATAGACTGTCCTTTCAATGCTTTAGGAGCTGAACTCCTTTGCTAGGCTTCAAAAGACGTCCACATTATATTAACTGATGATCTGTAGCAACTTAGTGAATGAGAGGTTAATAGAGCCCTAAGGTAACATTCTCTTTAAGCAAAGATTCTTAACCTTTTTTCTTAATCTTTGGTGGTAGTCTGGTGAAGCCTATGTATTTAAATGCATGAAATAAAATACATTGGCTTACAAAGGAAATTGATCATACTGAAATATTTTTTAAATCATAATATGGTAACATATGTGTTCATTGATACACGAAATAATAAGATCTAGCAGTGACATGCCATAATTTCAAAGTAGTGATGAGTACAAATAATATTTTGAGATATCTACAATATGTAATGTGGCCTGAAAATATCTGTGATTTCTATTGATGACGAGTCACAAGTCCTGCTAGTTCTACTGTGGTTTGTTGTCTATATTCCTAATTTAAGGAAATGCTAAATTTTAAAGGTGAATGAAAATAAACATGTAATTTTGTTCCCCATCCGAGTTCCTGGGCTTACAGGCTAAGAACTACTGGCTTAAGGAATTCTGTATCTGTCGGTTTTTCTACTGTAAGATAAAATTGAAATACATTGCTCATCCCAATTGCCAAGGTTGCATGAGGAGTAGAAAACCCCAGAGCTCTGAAAAGGATGCTCTTGGCCTCCAGTCTCCAGTAAAGTACCCACAAGTACCTGCCCTCCAAAGGCTTCCTATCCGGATGGTGGGCAAAGCACAAAGTGACAAGGACTTTGGACTCTTACCCAGCCCTGCTGGTACCTGGCTGTGCCACCAGCGGCAAAGTCTCGGTTTCCAGTTGGCAGATGAACAGATGGAATTAGCAGATCTTAGCTCCCTGAGGCTCTGAGTCTCTGGAAAACAGGAAAGCAATTGAAAAACAGTGTGTGATCAAGTGCCGAGTGCTAAGGTGCAAATCAGCCATCACGGCACCAACGGTATGAGCCTCTTCCCAACTTGCCCCTCAGTTCTTGCTGTCTTCTTTCTGCTCTACTAACCATACTACTGGGTCAGGAGCTATCTAGTTTCTCTGATTTCAGAACATTTTAAATGAAGATTTTTGCACTTGGCTCAATTCCCTCGGGCTGTGCACTGTGCTTTCTTTCCATCTGGCGTCTGTGGCGTCTGTGCTCCGGGTTAACAGAACCACGGGACGTGCGGTGCCGGGCCGGGAACGACACCGCGAGTGGATCCGGGGGGGATCCTGGAATACTCCACCGCTCGCTCATTCAGGTGGCTAGGCTTATTATTTCAAAAATACAGGACTCAATGATCATTATAAAACACTACTCCAAACTCTCTCAAACCGAGGTCCGAGCGTGGAAAGTGCCCTCTTCACGGCTAAGCGGGAGCTCAAGCTCCCCCTCGTGGCCACTCCCTCCTACTTAAAGACAACTGAAATTCAGCGTGTCCCGGACCCATCCACCCAGTCATTCAGTAAATACTTACTGAGCGCCCAGGCGCTGTTCCAGCTGCTCAGGGTACACGACTTGATTGACAGGTCATTTATGCCCTATCCTACTTGTAAACAAAGGATGATGAGGCTTACAATAAAAGCACCTGGGGACAATTAAAGTCAGAGACAGCAGTAGCGAGTGAAAAGGGGCAGATAGTTCTACCAGGAGCCTGGAGTAAATTAGTCACTGCCCGTGAGCTGTAAATGTACTTCTGACCTTCCTGGTAGCCAAGGCAAAACAAAATGAAACAAAAAATCAGGATGGTGTACACAATTCTGATAAACAGAAAGAAATACAGAAGGACATTCTCAAGGCGCAAAGGACTAATACACTCAATTGCTTGGACGGTGGTTTGGCAGAAGACGCAGACCTGTGCTTTGTGGATCATTATTATATTGATCTCAAGTGAAAGCCAAGGACAGAGCACTAAACTGTAATTCATTGAAAGTATTTCAAATATAGACAAAAACAGGGTACTTCCTGGTATTCCAAGTTGATAAGGGACAAAGCTTAGAGAGATGGAGATACAGGGGTTCCATATCCATCCCATGTTGTTGCTCTTTACTTTGAGAGACTTCGATCCCAGCTTCTCCAAACATGCAGCCAAACTGGAGATTTTGACTCTAGTTTCTATAAACCTTCAGTCTTATAGCACTGGGTTAACATCTAAAGCCTTTTATTGTCAGCTTGAAATGTATTTTTTTTTTCCACCTCAGAAGGTCCCCACCCCAAAACAGGTGACTTTTTGCAATGATGCCATTAGTACAGCACAGAGCATTATCCTAGGGTCATTTGCATCAAGATTTCACAGAAGGCTAGGAAGATGCTTTCTCTTTGGTTATTAGCGTCCTCCTGGGGTCCCTACTGGCTCGGTGGCTTTTTAACATGTTTGAGCCAGAGTTGACAGAATGTATCATTGGGACACACTCAGGATTTTCAGTGGGGCAGTACCACACCTCATCTTTAGAAATGTGTGGGGTGTTTTTGGTAGTCATGACAAAGAATTCTCATGCATTCCCAGACAAATGTTGACTATCTTAACAGACAATTCATTTAGGTTAAAAAAAAAATTATCTGATAGCAGAATTTAACTCATATAAACACAAAGTATATTTTACAGGTTTTAATATACTCCAAATTTTCTAGGAATGCAACTGTTGTGTAAATTGAAGGGAGACTGTACTTTGTTTCATTCAGAATTTTAACAGGAAGTGTTTGTTGTTTCAGAAAAACATCAGGGAGGGCAACATTGCCTCTAGTATTTAAATCACTAATGCCACACACTAGCAACCTTCTGCATTTTAGACATCATAGTCAACATGACTCTACATATACAAACATCTGACTTCTTTACTGTGTCTTCTAATGGAGTTTACATATGTAAGTATATATTACATTATTGTAATTCACTATCTCTTTATTTCTGCTTTTCTCACAGTAATGACATTGTACTATTATTATTCTAATTATTATATGTGTAGGTAGGTTATAGCATACATAAATTTTATTTCAGGATCTTAAAAGGTACAAACATTTCCTATAAAGAATGAGCAGTGGGTCTCCTGGGTCTAAGAATCAGAGAGTTAGAGAATCCAATAATCTCTAAGGTCACTTAAAAGTTAAATTCTATAATTCTCTTGTTCATTTTTCAACACGTTATTGGGCTTTTAGGAGAATGAGGCAGAGGAAAATGGAGAATTGTTTGGTTGGTGGTTGTTTTAAGTTGTGTCATTTTTGGTTTGGGGGCTTTGGTTTGATTGTGAGTTTGTTTACTTATGTGATAAATTCCAGGCTAATTTCCAGGTTTTAATCGAGAGTGCAGAGTCCCTCTTTCAATAGGAATTATTTAAATTATTTCAACTGCATCTTTTCAATCCTCTTCAACAAACTCTGGAGCTCCTTCTCTTTCTCTGCTGCGCTGGCTGTTAAATGTCAGCTGCCAACTTGGCGGTTCTACTTATGTTTCACCGTCCAAATCACTCAGAAACAATTCACTGAGACTATTCCTAGTTTGCGGTCTATTTATTCAAGACAAAGTGCCCCCAGGTGACAATTTACTTATTTTAAAACTACTTTTGAAGGCTTTTTCTTTTTTTAGTAAACTTCTTCCTAGTCAATAGGAGTTTTTATTTTTTATATACATAGTTAACTATCACTAGGTGAGATACGCTTTCCTGCCAATTAAAACTTTATCACTGACAGATAGATGTATTTAATAAAAATCTAATTCACTATACATAAGAATATGATAAGAAGGAAGCCAGTGTTTATTCATCATATACTTAGCATTATTCTTAGAATTCATTATTGTTTTTTTCTCTTTAGGGTGGCAGGTGGAGTTAATTAATAAGCTGAATGGGCCCATGGTAAGTACCAGCAAAGTCAGAGATAACTCCAGCCACCCATCATTAGCAAGATAAGGTGACCTTCACAGATTCGATTTCTGGTCATCTTTACTAGCAAGAAATTAAAAACCACATTGGGTTACTTTACATATTCTTCACAACATGGAAAAGCAAATATACTTCTCTCTTGGATGCGTCTGATTTTTGCTGTGTTTTGGAATA